TGATGATGTTACTTAGTTGGGTCATGAAATGTCCGCAAGGAAACAACTGAGCTCAGAGAGCACAAAGGATCCCACCATCCTTTTCCCCTCCCCTTTCCCCTCCCCTCCCCTCCTCCTCTTCCTTTCCCCTTCTTCTTCTCCTCTTCCTCCTCACACCCCACTCCCTTCTAGCACTGATGATGTTACCTAGTTGGGTCATGAAATGTCTGCAAGGAAACAACTGAGCTCAGAGAGCACAAAGGATCCCACCATCCTTTTCCCCTCCCTTTTCCCCTCCTCTCCCCTCCTCTTCCTTTCCCCTTCTTCTTCTCCTCTTCCTCCTCACACCCCACTCCCTTCTAGCACTGATGATATTACCTAGTTGGGTCATGAAATGTCTGCAAGAAAACAGTCAAGCTCAGAGAGCACCAAGGACCCCTTCATTTCAACCATGAGCCACAAATATTCTTTTCGGTTAGTACACAAAATAATTTGTGAACCTAACAGCATCTTTCAATTTTGCATCCTCACCTTGGCGCTCTTTCTTCCAGCAGAGGGAGCTCGGTAACAATCCTCCTTGCAAGCTGTCATCGCTCAGAAACTCTGCATTGCATAAATATTTGAGGAAAGCAATGTGTTTAATTTCTAACAGAGCTTTGCGGTCCAAATGAGCTTAGAATGTTTTCCTTACGCCCTGCATTAAATCCTCCCTTCAGATACTAATGAAGACCCAAGGTTTGCTTCAACTGAACTTGTGGGAGGTGTGGTTTGTAAAACATAGATTATGGCAAAGAAGGTTTGCCTGTTATTGTTTCATCTCAATATTCCCAGGAGGGCCTCAACCCAGCATCCAGGAGAGTACTCCTTGTTTTATTCTCACAATAACAAGCCAATGGCTGTGTTCAGAAGTAGCACTCTTACCCCAGACAGAAAAAGATTTTGCATGAATTACACTTCAGAAAGCGTAGTTTTAACTTTTTTTTGCAGTTTAGCATATTAAGGGAATTCAGCCCTTCATATGATCAATGGTTTAATGTACTGGGTGAAGCCAAAACATGGGTTAAACTAATAACCAGGTGAAGTATCTTTTGCAAGTGGAATCTGTAAAGTTGTCTGAGCAGAAAAAAAAGATGATTGATGGAACGTCAAGGAGGATCTCCTCAGCTGAGTACACACTCTTCTTACTTATTCATCTTTGCTAAGATTGGGGGGGGGGAACCCCCCACAATTCTTTGGCCATCTGTGAAACCATTCAGTGTTTGCATCCCTATCAGAATGCTTCTGAACTAGCTGGAGGCTCAACCCTTGGCTGATATCAAAGATATGATCTCTAGGGTTAAAAGATGGGTGGAGGAGTAGGGACACCCAGTTTTAAGCTTTGGAACTCTCCGCCATAGAAAAGCCAGTGTGGGACTTTGGATTGGAATACGAACTGACCCAGTAAATCAGTGGTTCTCAACCTTCCTAATGCCGCGACCCCCAACTGGTCGTAAGTCGAGGACTATTCAACTGGTGCAGCACCGTTTGCAGAATGGGACTTTTGGCGGGCTCAGCAGGGCAGAGACAGCCTGGACAATTCCTATTGGCTTTTGAAAGCCAATAGAATTAGACTCTATTCAAGAGAGTCTATTCTATTGGCTTTCAAAAGCCAATAGAATAAAAGGGAGTAGCACAGCTAAGGAAAAGGGGGAAAAAATGGCGGACTGCGTTGTTTGGCGACCCCCGTGAAATGGTCGTTCGACCCCAAATGGGGTCCCGACCCACAGGTTGAGAACCACTGCAGTAAATCAATCATTCAGTCAAGGAACAATTGAGAAGGCTGGTTCTTCTCCACTCCTTAGAGGGATGTGATGTAGCTGGAAGTCTTTATGATGATCAGAAAATAAGCAATGACACAGTTCATTTTGTGGTGACCTCTCATCCGCAGCTTTCTCAAGGCAGTGCCCTGAATGGCATTGCCGGTTGATTGATGCTTCCCTACACAAAAGCTGAGGTCACGGTGAGAGCACCCCAAGGAGGGGCAACGCCAAATGGACATCGCATCATCCCTGGTGATGAGAACAGCTGAACTGTGTTCTGCAACTTTGAGGCCAAGCTGCCTTGGCAGTTCACAACCTTGAATGACAAAGACTTTTGAGCTGGGTTTAAGTAGACAAAAGAACAAGAAACTGGTCTGAAGGCCCCATGCTTGGATGAATGAGGACTGTGGGGATGAAGAATCACTTGACGTTGTGTTTCTGGTGCCAATTGGAAAATTCTTTTCATAAATGAAAATCCGCACACCCTTGAGAAGAGATAACCCTTCTGCTACTCAACATTCTGCTCACAGATTGGGTAAAAATCAATGGGGCCAGGGTGCTGATGGCCTTTTTCTGATTTGGTTTCTAAGCTATTTAATGTGGTTTTAATTCAGAGCAGCCCTTTGGTCCCGAGCCTCCTCAAATGCAAAAAAACAAAAACAAAAAGGACTACACTGTTAGTCTCTTCTGAAAACAAAAGTATGGAGGCCAGACTTCTTATATTCTTCTAGTGTGCAGCTGTTAGTGCACCATACCATGTGGTCCTTGGCTCAGCTGTAGGAAACACAACAGGAATGTGTTTTGTTCAGACTCTCTGTCTCCTTAGACTTCACGAAATGTATTGCAAGGCTGGCTTTAAGGTCCCTGCCAAGCCACTGTATATAACAATGCAACCGGATGGATGGATTTACCAACAATTGCATGAAATCTCCACTCAGTATAAAACAAAACTCCAGCAAGCTTTCATTTGTGCTTCTTAGGAACTAATATCAAGATGCCTACTATCCATATTGTTGGGGATAATATGGAGTACAGTGGCACCTTGGTTCTCAACTGCTTTGAAACTCTTATTGAATTTGGTACTCAACACATTTTGACATGAAAATTTTGCCCCGGTACTCACTGTTTGTTCAGTACTCAATGCACAAGCTAGATTTGTTGGTGTTGGCTGTCTTGTGACTCATTACATTATTCCTTATGAAGACAAATTGTTTGGTACTCATAGCGCTTGGTACTCCTTGTGCCTCCTGGAACCAATTAACGAGTACAGAGGTACTACTGTAGCAACCACTGATAATGTTGGCCTCTATTTGGGCTACTTTATCTGTAGTACACAAATTAAGACAATCACTGGATGGCACCTGGGTCTCTGAAGGATCCAAGTCTCATGTCTTTTTCACATGTGTTGCGTGCATTTAAAATGGGTCCAGATTAGCTTACAGTATTCATTCCGGTCTTGCAGGCTGACTGTGCTGTATAGTCACAGCTTACAGGGCTGCTTTGCTGAAACTTCGAGGACAAAGTGCTAGGGATGAAAGGAAGATATAAAAATGATAAATCACCAGCACTGTCAAATGGCTACTTCTGCAAAAGATGACCTATCTCCAGAAATTAATTAAGGAGCTTCAATAATGCCATCCGTGCATGATGTCTTCCTTTGTTTATCTATTTCATTACATTTGTTATGGCCATCGACTCCAACATCCTCTGGGCAGTTTACAGAATCCAAAGCAGCTAAAAACAATGAAAGGAGACAGCTTGGACTCAAAATGGGCACAATAATAATATAAAGTGGGCCAGGAGTCCCTAAACCTTCCACAGACATGTGTGGGAACAGAGCCAGGTCTTAAGGACCATCTGGAAGTCCACAAGAATGGATACCATCTGAATCTCCAGGGAGATGCTACTCCAGAGGATGGGGACTGCGACAAAGAAGGTCCGCTTCCTTGGTCCCTCAAGTTGACAGCTTTTAATTGAAGGGACCAGGAGCATCCCCCTCTTCCCAAGCATGTCAAGCCAAGAGACACATTGGAGTTGGGTGGTCCTTCAGATGCTCAGGCCCAAGGTCATGGTTTATGCTGCAATGTAGAAAAAATAGATAAACTAATTTATAAAGAAGTTCCTCCCTTCCAAAAAGCACTTTCCCCATTTCATTAGACGAGGAACCTGGGAGGTCTTTGAACCAATCCCCAAGAGGCGTCAGTGACCAACATGTTTTGTGCTTGGTTACGGGTGACTGATTAGTGTGATGTTGCAAAGTCCTGACAGCAATGGTCTTCCTGTAGTGCTGCTCCTGCTGCTACTTTCTACATGAGGTGCCCAAAACAAGATTATGTAGCTGGATGATGATGATGATGATGATGATGATGATGATGATGATGATGACGACGACAACAACAACAACAATAATAATAATAAAGTTGGAACCCCCTGCTCAGGCAGGAAACCCTATACCATTTCAGACAAATGGCTGTCCAGTCTCTTCTTAAAAACTTCCAGCGTTGGAGCATTCACCGCTTCTGGAGGCAGGTTGTTCCACTGGTTAATTGTTCTCACTGTCAGGAAATTTCTCCTTAGTTCTAGGTTGCTTCTCTCCTTGGTTAGTTTCCATCTGTTGCTTCTTGTCCTGCCTTCAGGCGCTTTGGAGAATAGCTGGACTCCTTCTTCTTTGGGGCAGCCCCTGAGATATTGGAACACTGCTATCTTTTCCCCCCTCGTCCTTCTCTTCATTAAACTAGATATACCCAATTCCAGTAGCTGTTCCTTATATGCTCTTTGTGCTGTTTGCTAGGCATCCATATTTGGAGTCCAACTATCACAACCAGCCTAAATCCAGACATCATAATACGTGTCAAGATGTAGGAGTGGCAGATGAGACAGAGAGATCTGCAGTGCCAATATGTAGGAGAAGGAGTGGCAAAACCTGGAGGTTAAACAAGGGATCAGCCTAGAATTCCTACATAACCATAAGCAGGTTAACTCCAACTTCCCTTGAATTCTGTAGGTCCATATCTAACTCCAAACAGATGTCAACTGTTGGCTGAGAATATTCCCATGCATAGGCATCAGTAGCAATAATCAATTTAATTGGATCTTCACGTGTGGATTTGATCTGTTGCACCTGGCATGAATAGAAGTCCAGCACAAGAAGGTGGAATTAGAATTAGAATAGAACTTTATTTTCCCTTTAAATGTACATTAATCAGCATACATTAAAATGAAATTTCATTGCATTCAGCTCTCAAAGGATAACCACCTCCAATATACACAACATAAATGTGACCAAGATTATGCATATAACCACACACACATACACATATATAACACAGGGAAACATAGTCTAGTTTGGATGTATACATGTATACATGTCGAGAAAAAAAGAATCTTGTGAATATTAGGAAGATACTTTCAACTGGCCATTTATATGGGAGCAAAAGGCCAAATGCACGTTCCCTAACTTGGTGCCACTGCTGATAAAATCCTTCCACACCATGTTGCTTTGATGCATATAAAACACACTTTTTTCCCCAGGAGCTCAAAGGAAGCTTCCACTGAGAGATTTTGCTTTGTTTTACAAGCTCCACAAAAAATCATCTGAGGTGAACTGGGCTGATACAGCTTGACTGCCCCCCCCCCCATGTTATCAATTGTTGTTTTATCAAGTAAATGCTAAAATGTTATCAACTTTGTTTGTTAAACTGAGTTATATAATGACCTATCTCACCAGCTGGGAGACAAGCAAAAGATTACAAACCAACCGAAAGAAAACAGCAAAAAAAAATAATACAATAATAAGTGCTTAATAATAGAGGGAATCTAAATTTAGCGGCTACAACTGGAACCAACAATTAGGCTGTTAAGCAAAGCAGTTGTTAAGTGTTAATATGACTGTGCTTATGATCTTACTTCAGTTCTCCTTTGCTTTATAGACCTGCCAAGGTAGTAAATCAATGGATCGATCACAAAGTGGGTTTTTTTCATCATCGTCATAAATGTGAACAGTTGTTGTCCAAAGCAGTTGCTAAGTGAGGACTATCTGTATAAAGAGAGATTTGTTCCTTGTCTGTCTGAGATTAGGATTTTTCTTGACACAGATGCATTATTAAAAGCACATCAGAAGTGCAAATAAAAATATAGAAATCAACCCAGTGCTGTTTGGTTTTAGCTAGGTTTGATTTTATTCCTGTTTCTTGGAAATGGTTATTCCAACCATTTCTGATTCTCCCTGGTGTTTTCTGGCCCAACCAGAAGATGATAAAAAAAAGTCTTCTGGATTCCTTGCAGGACTCTAAGATTTTCAAAAGTCTTTGGCTACCCCACAACGTGAAATAAAATAAAAGGGTTATACCTCTCTCTCTCTCTTTCTCTCTCTCACTCTCTCTCTCAAATAAAATAAAATAAAATAAAAGCAAATTAGGAAGAAGAAAAGGTCCTTAACAGCTGTGATGGACTTGTCTGGAAAAGCTGTTTGCTCCAACATGTCCTTCCTGTTCCTTGGAGAGCATTTTATCACATCCTTATTATTATTTTCCCAGCTTTCTCCTTTTCTTCGCTCACAGCAGCTGACATCCGATCCTTTCTCCCCGTCTTGATTTGAATGGCCCCCTCCCTCTCTCTTGCTCTCATTCTCTGTGGGTCCTTTAGGAGAGCCAGATGTTCAGACAAAGGTCTAAAAATAATCTTTCCTTAGAAAGTTGAGTGACGGTGAAAGGTGGGGGACTCCACTTGGGAGCAATCGCAAGATTGGAGAAAGGGATCCAACTTGGAGCAAGAAACGTATTGGCAAGGCAGCAGCATCCTTTCTGGTCCCAGACTTGAACCCTTTTAAGGACAAACTGTCTGGGAGGGAACATTTCAGCCTGTCTTTCTTTTCTCTTTTCTCCCGCAAAGAAATCTGAAGCAAATTTCATCCTCCACGAGGGAGTTTGCAATTTTCATTTTCATTTGTTCTTGTTGTTGTTGATAGGGTGCCAAAAGACAGCTGGAGGTGAAGGTAGAATGGGAGGCAAACTGCATTTTTGCACCACGTTCTTTACAACTACTTTATGCCTGGTGTTTCTGCTCTACCCGCCCTGGAACTATGCAAAGAGGCGCTGGAGAAGACAACTGAAGCTGGTGGAGAAGTACGACGTAAGTAAAAGCTGCCAATCAAGAAAAGGGAATGGTAGAACTATAGCCCGTTGCTGGAATCCTCTAAGGTCACTTAGTCCAACTTTCTGCTGAAGGTGTAACAATATGCATGGGGTGTTGGGTTTACGGTTAGGCTTCAAGGTGGTTTGCAAGTCTTTGAAGGAAAGAAAACTCGCAAGTCTTTCAGTTTTCTCTCCAATGATTAGAAGCTTCCACACTTGGCTAAACTCTGTCAACATCTGTCTTCAAAAGTTCTGAATTCATTGGACTTTCCATCCCCATCAAGTCTTTGCTCATCATACCTTTTCTCTGTGCCAAATCTTAAAAACCCAGAGAGTTTAACAAAACTTAAGTGCTTCTGGCTTGTGTAGAGTTTTGTTGTTTGGCACACATCTGGATAAATATTCTCTGCCCAAAGTGATGTGGTCTAATCAAGCAAAGACCCCCTTAAAGAAGTGCATTTTTTTTCTTTTTATTTCATTTTTTCTGTTTCCACAAAGGAACAGGATGCCAGCTTGATACATTTTCTCTATCCACTTATGTACTTAGATATAAGTATGTAAGTGGATAGCAGCTAAGTATCTTCTCTGCTGTAATGCTTTACATTTCTCTTTTTAATTAACTACGCTGCTAATTATCTTAGCCTATTCAATTAAAAAAAAGTAATAGTTGTGGAATTTAGGGTGATAATTTGTGATTTCTTTTCCTTACTTGCCCAAGTTGAACTATAGTTTAATTATACACCGGGTTATGGTGCATTTATTGTGCTTTTAATTTATGGATGAGTGTTTTGATAGCTTCAATAACTGAATTCTTACCTTTATATGCTTTCTGGACTGTTTTAATGTTGCAGAAGTTAAATATGTATCAACACAATACATATTTCTTCAAATATAAATCCTAAGAGAATCAGAGAGAAACTTATTCTGAAGTATGTGTTCATTCTGATTCTGAAACTGCAGAATAGAATGGAATTCTTCTTAGGAGAACAGTTTACTAATATTGGCAAAGAGATAGCCAATAATCAATCCATCCAAAAGTTTGTGATGCCTAAAATGCTAACTCATTTTATTATTACACATGGCTTGTGGCTGCCATCTACTTTGCAGACACATATATATCTTCTTAATATGGGTCAGTCTGAGCAGGGGGTTGGAGCAGAAGACCTCCAAAGTCCCTTCCACCTCTGTCATTCTATTCTATTCTATTCTATTCCATTCCATTCCATTCGTCTATTCTATTCTATTCTGTTCTGTTCTGTTCTGTTCCGTTCCATTCCATTCATCTATTCTATTCTATTCTATTCTATTCTATTCTATTCTATTCTATTCTATTCTATTCTATTCTATTCTATTCTATTCTATTCCATTCATCTGTTCTATTCTATTCTATTCTATTCTATTCTATTCTATTGAATAGAATAGAATAGAATAGAATAGAATAGAACAGATGAATGGAATGGAACAGACTGTTTACAACAGTCTCTGTGAAGTTCTTCACACATCTTCCCAAGACCCAATCTCAAAGAGGCTCCAAGCTGATTCTTGGGGAGCCTTAAGGAAGCTGTGTCACCAACCCAGAACGGTGGGACGCTGGGTGGAGTTGGTTTCCCAAGGGAGGAAACCAACTATGGAGCAGGTGGAAGTTTATTTATTTATTTATTTATTTATTTATTTATTTATTTATTTTTATACGCCGCCCAATCCCAAGGGACTCAGTCCCAAAATGCCTGGAGAATTGTTTGAGGTTAAAATGCCGAGGTGTTTTTATCGCTGTTTCTTTGAAAGACTGTTTCCTCCCTTTGTAACAAGAAGCCCTGAGAATTTTCAAGAACAAAAACTTTTTTAAAAACAGAGAGAGGGGTGTGTGTGTGTGTGGAAAGTGGAGGAACGGTGTTCTCCACCGAACCCAAAAAGAACATTTGAGGGGATTTTTTCTGGAGAATCTAGTTTATTTTAGATCTGTATACATAAATAACAGAAATTCTATTGAATGGGTGAGTACATGGATGCTTTTTGATGGTGCATTGATTATTCCTCAGCCTGCTTAGTTTCTACAATATTAACAAAGATGCAAAGGGAGACCCCTAGTGGCAGACTCTAGGATTAACTTTCATAGATTAACCAAGTTAACGGGAGTCCTGAAGAGAAGCCCCATATGACCACACCCAATTGATGACCTTTTCTTCCCGTTGTCATTAAGCGAATCGCTGCAGTCCTTAAAGCCACCTGCCGCCTTTCCGTGTTGACTTGCTTGTTGGAAGCCGGCTAGGAAGGTTGAAAAACAGCAATCCTGTGATTGCAGAATACTGCAATTGCCTTAAGTGCAAGCCAGTGGCCAATAGTCCAAATTGCATTTACGTGACTCCAGGGACACTGTGACACTAAGATTAAGTGTGAGCATTGGCCATAAGTCACTTTTTTCAGCACTGTCGTAACTTCGAACAGTCACTAAACAAATAATCATAGGTCAAGGACTACCTGTAATTATAGACTGGGGACTTCCAAACTTGACAATTTCTAGATTTGTGGACTTAAATGGCTGGCTAAGGAGAGTAGAGTAGAGTAGAGTAGAGTGGAGTGGAGTGGAGTGTAATGGAGTGGAGTGGAATGGAATGGAATGGAATGCAGTAGAGTGGAGTGGAGTGGAATAGAACTTTGTTGTCACTTGAAATGTACATGGAATGGAACGGAACGGAACAGAACAGAACAGAACAGAATAGAACCTTGGAGGTCTTCCAGTCCAACCTCCTGCTCAAGCAGGAGACCCTATACCATTTGAGACAAGTGATTGTCCCTTCTTAAAAGCCTCCAATGTTGGAGCACCCATAACTTCTGAAAGCAACTTCTGTTCCACTGGTTAATTGTTCTCACTGTTAGGAAGTTTCTCCTTAATTCCAGATTGCTTCTCTCTTTGATTAGTTTCCACCCATTGTTTCTTGTCCTGCCCTCTGGTTCTTTGGAGAATAATTTTGACTCCCTTTTCTTTGTGGCAGCCCCTCAAATACTAGAATCCTGCTATTTATTTATTTTATTTATTTATGAGACTTATATACCGCTTTAAGTGCAAGCACTCTCTAAGCGGTGTACACCAGTAAGCAATGTATATATATATTTACATTGCCCCCAACAATCTGGGTCCTCATTTTACCTACCCCGGAAGGATGGAAGGCTGAGTCAACTTGAGCCGGAGAGATTTGAACCGCTGACCTGCTGAACACGGTCAGCTAAAGTGGCCTGCAGTACTGCACTCTAACTGCTGCGCCACCTCGGCTCATATCACATCACCCCTAGTCCTTCTTTTCTTTAGACTAGCCAAACCTAAGTCCTATGTTTTAGTCTGGGAGTTGAAGTCCCCAAGTCTTGAAATTGCCACATTTGGGGGCTGCTGATATAGACCCTAGAATTTTCCTTCCTATCATAACATTGTGAGTTGCAAGATGCAGCAGAGATGTTTCTGAAGCTTTTCCAGATAATTTTTCCATAAATACTAAAGTTGTGAAAAACACTTCTCAGCTACTTAGAGAATTGTACAGTCTCTAAATTTAAAATTGTTCTGAAAGGATTAAATTTCAGAGGCCAAGGGCAGCTGGAGAGATCACAGAATAAAGAAGGAATGTACAAATAAGGCCATTTGGCAACGTTCTTGCAACGCTAAAATCTTCTCCAGCCTGTTTCACTCCAGGATGATGAGAGTTATAGGAAATTCACCTGAAGGGAAGGTTGTTGAACCACAGCAAATTCAAAAATGTGTGCTTGGATGTTATTTTACATGTGCTGGGTAAAAACGTCTGCTCACATCGCTTGGAGGAATTGCCCAATCTAATAGGAATAATGTTCCTCTAAATTGAGTGTGTGCCCAGGCTCTGCAGGATATAATCTTTCTCATCTGAAAAGATTAGCAATAATCCTTTTGAAAGGACTTTTATTCCTGGTGACATGTCATCCACGTATCCCTGAGCTAGCAAAAATACTCAGGATGCCTCTGGTTAATTAGTAGAGAATGTGGGCCAAAGTAGGAGAAAGCTGTGAAGTCAAATTTAGTGACCTGACCTTGAAGATGTTGGCGCCATTCGGGGGGGGGCAAACAAGAGACCCTTGCTCCTGATTGAAAGATTTTAACTTAGCATGACCTTTTGCCACAAAAGAGGCGAGAGAACAAGTAAGAACAGACCAATTATCAATAGAAGGGAATACCTGTATCTCAGGGTTGAACTGCGGGGTCCTTGGTGCTCTCTGAGCTGGGAGGTTTTTTTCCAGGCATTTCATGACCCAGCTAGGTAACATCATCAGTGGAAGAAGGGAGTGCTAGCAGTATTTGCATTTGGGAGCAATGCAAATTGTTTCATTATCTAGTTGGGTAATGAAGCGTCTGCAAGAAAACCACCAAACGTGGAGAGCAACAAGGACCCCACAATCCTCCTTCTCCTCCTCCTGCAGGAAGGAGGAGGAGGAGGAGGAGAACGATGACAACAATTATGGGGTTCTTGGTGCTCTCTTGCAGATGTTTTCTTGCAGATGTTTCTTGCAGACATTTCATTACCAAACTAGGTAACATTATTAGTGCTACAAGGGGGGAGGAGGAGGAGAGGAGAACTGTGGGGTCCTTAGGGCTCTCTGGGCTTAGTGACCACATATTTGTTTCAAAGAATTTGTACCAGGTAAATTCTCATCAGGATACAATTTTTGTGAGTCCTCGATGCTGTCTGAGCTTGGTGGTTTGCTTGCAGACATTTCATTACCCAACTAGGCAACATCATCAGTGCTAGTGTGAGTGTGGAGTTTGCGCCATGTTTAGATATAACAACTTGCCCTGCTCATGTTGGGTGAGAGTTTGCAGATCATCCTCAATCTGTTGATTTGTTCCCCAATTGCAAATACTGCTAAAAATCAATAAACGTCAGTCATCTCCTTTGGCAAACATATGAAATTTAATCTGCATTCTGGTGTTTTCCACTTCTCAAGAACCGGGGATGGGTCAGTTTCGGTATGGAGCCCTCCGCAAGCCGAGGGCTCTGCCAAATTGTCCTTGCCAGCCAGTGCCACCTTGTGGAATATCTAAGCATTAGACACAATTCTCAAAATCTTTCAGAAGAAAAAGCATTGTCTCCCTGCAAGCTTTCTATTCCTCGGTTGGTGAAAACGTTGAACAATCTGTCAGGTTGCAAAGGTGAACAGGTGTGTAGTAAGTCTGATAGAAAAGGATGGGAGAATGTGTCTGAAAAATGCTGAAAGAGGATCGAGTAAAAAGATCTACTTTCTTCCAGGATTATGAGGACTCTCTTCATCCCCATAGTGCACACTACCAGAAGAATGACCGGTGTCCACCACCATCACAGACCTTACCAGAACGAGCATGTGAAGCTCCCAGCTGTCGGTCGGACTCTGAATGCGAGAAGCACAAACGCTGTTGCTATAATGGATGTATCTATGCCTGTTTAGAATCAGTGCCACCACCCCCAGGTAAATCAGGCCATAATAGCTCATGCTGGAGATGCTATCACCGTAGGTCCAAAGGACACTTGGCCGATGGGATCCTTGCAACTGTTGCTATGTCCCAAAACAAAGGTCTTGGATGTTGCTTTTTTTTAAAAAAAAAGTGTTCTTGTAAGTCCTTCACCAGGATGGGTGTAAGATAGATGGAAGCATCTCTTTAAGCTGGTAGACCTAGTTGTTCTCCAAGATGCTACAGTATTATGGGATTCTACAAAAGGGATGAAAGATGCACAGGAACAGGAACCATTAGCATGGCATAGATCATCAAACCATGGTTACAGCATGGTGTGACCCACTGGCATGGTCTCTTCTCTTCATCTTGTTAAAAGCTTCTTCTTCCTTGGTGCTCTCTGAACTTGGTTATTTTCTTGCAGACGTATCATTACCAAACTAGGTAACATCATCAGGGCTAATCTAGTTGATGTTGATGATGTTACCGAGTTTGGGTAATGAAAGGTCTGCAAGAAAACCACCAAGCTCAGAGAGCACCAAGGACCCCTCATTTCAACCCTGAGCTACAAATGTTCTCCTTTATTGATGCTTCTTCTTCATAATAAGAGATATTTTTCATTGAAAAGTTTTAGATTGGCTGATTCAGCCCAAACCTCGCTGGTTGGGTGGAAATGGCTGGCTCCTGGATGGACCAGAAGAAGTCCTACAAGGTAGAGTAGTAGAACCACAGCAGTAGTAGCCCCAACGTGCCATGATGGACCTTCATTGATCTTGAGATGTTTGTTTCCATAGCTGAAACATGCAGCACCACTGAGGATGGAGATGACCCCCTGCACTGTCCAACAGGATTTGAATGCCACATCATCCATCCTGGGAATGCCGCCGAGGGCATCCCCAACCAGGGCCAGTGCATCAAGCTACGCGGGAACTCCGGTGAGTTATTGGCATGAATGTGAAGCATCTGAGCCCATAAATCATGGCCACACAAGATAGTACCTTAAAATCACATTCATAAGGATTTCTTGCAGAAGACAGAGGTGGAGAAGTTGTGTTCACTAAAAGTTGTCCTAGAAGAGGTGGTGGAGAAGAAGAACTGGACCTAAGATGTAGAAAAAGTTGAGGAAGCCCATTTTTGCCCTGTCTCCACATTTCATAATTTAGATAGATCCAGGTGTGGAATTACCTTTGGAAGTTGATGCAAACACTAAAATAAAACAATGCTGTTTCTTGCTATAATTCTCCAGGTTTCTTGGTTTCCAGAGGCCAGAAATGCTTCTGTGCAACCTTGTCTCACAACTAGCACAGCTAGTATCCCGTGGGTGGTTCACAACAAAATTTTGTCATTTCCTTTTTGAAGCAATTTGAAGAAAAGAATGCTCACTATGCTTGTAAGCTGTGCCACATGGTCACTTGTGAAGATACTTAAGCTTCCCTCAGTTGATATTTCTTTTTCCTTCTCCAGATGGATGGAATCTAAGACCCAAATACTACAAGGACTATTTTGGTAAGTTCCAGCACTAAAAAGGCAGATCATGATTAAATCATATTTCTGAGGAGCAGCAATTTGAAGAACATGGATCTAGAAGGGTTGTTGATATAGGTGATCCTCAATTTATTACCATTTGTTGAATGTTTGATGTTCAAAGTTACAACAGTGCTGGAAAAAAAACTCCTTACGATTGGTCCTCGCATTTATGACCATCACACATCCCCATTATTACACCATCACAAGTCGGGCACTTGGCAACCAGCTCACACTTACAACCAGCTACAGTGTCCCAGTGATCACTATTCAGCACCTTTTCTGCCAATTTTTGGCACCTATTCAGAAGAATGGATTCACACTTACAACTGTAGTGTTCGCTTGCCAACTACGGATTCACTTAATGACTATCGTAAAAAATGATTGTAACATTGTGTCCGATTCAACTTACGACAGAAATCCTGGTTCCAATTGTGCTTGTAAGTCAAGGACTACCTTCAAATAATCCTTCAACATTCCATCTTACCATAATAAGCAGGAAATAGATCCTTGGGTTGAAGAGGCTAGTCTGAGGGCTAGTCTGAGGGCAGAATATTGGGGGAGGGGGGGAATCTGGAAACGAGAGCCAAACAAATATGTGACAGGAAATCAGATTGTTTTAGTGGAAAGGAGCTAGTTCATCTTGCCATTTCCTAAAAAAAATCTCAAAATTAACTTAGATGTCCTATTTTTATCTCTTGTTTATTTTTTCCAACCGTTGTTTTGCAGGACACAGTTCCAGCAATGGATTTGGATACGTGAAGCAAACGCAGAAGCACCTTGGTTAATTCAAGAAGAATTCTTTGGACTGGTCATATGTGATCTCAAAAGGAAAATAAGAACATTGGATAGGCAAAGGATAAACCCTAACCAAGTGAGAATAAAGCCAGGAGAATGTAGATGTTTAATCTGTTCATTGCCAGATTATTTTGAATTTCTTTTCAATATGCCTCAAATAAACTTACTGCCAGGGAAAGGAGTTAGATGGTCTTCAATTCGTATCGTTAAAAGCAGGATGGAGAAGACAGGCTTCTTCTTATAACGCCACACTTTAGCAGTGTTGCATTACGAGGTTTACAAGGCAATGTAAAGCATTGGCTTTTAATTTGTTCTTTGGAGAATTCAGCCATTGTGTCCTTACTAATATTGATCACTGAAACCTCTGCATGAATGAAAGCTCTGGTGTGTAGCACAGATGGGATATTAGTAATAGTAGTAAAGTTGGAAGGGACCTTGGAGGTCATCCAGTCCAACCCCTTGCTCAGGCAGGAAACCCTACTACACCATTTCGGACAAATGGCTGTCCAGTCTCTTCTTAAAAACTTCCAGTGTTGGAGCATTTACTGCTTCTGGAGGCAGGCTGTTCCACTGATGAATTGTTCTCACTGTAAGGAAGTTTCTCCTTAGTTCTAGGTTGCTTCTCTCCTTGATTAGTTTCCACTCGTTGCTTCTTGTCCTGCCTTTCAAGTGCTTTGATGGAGTGAAGGCACCATGTATGACCACAGTGCCTTTCTTCAAACAGGAAGTGTGACTTTGCATCTGAGGCAGGAGAACAATGGAGTTTTGATTATTTTTCTCTCCATTTATATACAGATTTCCTAACGGTAAGAACAGTTAGAAGAACTCATGATGTAAAAAGGTGATGAGTTGTCCTTTGGGAGAGGCATTCAAGCCAAAGCTTTAAAAAAAAAAAAAACCATAATCAAGAGTGTTTTAACTTGGTTTCCATCCCTGATCAAGAATATAGATGATCTAGAATCTAGAATAACAAGAAAAATCTTCAGGATCCCTTTGCAAATCTCAAATTCCAGATACTTGGGATAAAAAAAAAACACCACACCATTTATGGAACACTAGAGAACTCTTGTCTGCAAGGTTACGTGACCCTCCATAAAGCTGCTATTTTATTCCACGTCTGGACAAGAATTTATCAGCTGTGCAATTTTCACACACGGATCTACGGACTGTGACACAAGGATGTTCTTTTCAACTTGGGGAAAATTGGTGTCATGTTTTAGCTCTTTGAATGGAAGAAATCAATCAACAGAAAATGCTTTAGAAGAGCTGAAAAAAGGGCGGTTGATTTGACCATTGTGTAATGCTCCTGATGCAGCCTTCCAGTGGGGTAATTATGATCCCTAGTTGTTCTGCTCAGTGTTAGCTGTGTTCTGCTCTGTAAACACACATTACTCATGCAAACAGAGGATATTTCTCTGCAAAGATCAAGGCAGAGAAGGCAGAGTCACTGAACTTTTTCCTAAAGGTTAGGTCAGCCTAGACTGGATTTTTTAAAAGGTCCTTTTGCAGAGCAGTGCCTCTCAAACTTGGCCACTTTCATCAGATGAACTTCAACTCCCAGAAATCCCCAGCCAACATTGTTGGAAACACTACGAACATTTATTTAATATTTGTAAAAAAATTTAAATTTAAATTACAACTGAACTATGAGCATAAGGGGATGTCAATGGCATCAGCCCTTTCAGAGGGACAGAAACATAGGTCTCCATTCCAAAATGCATGCAATTTTTACAATAGTTGAACCCAGCTATTTTTGCAAATGTTTTTGCCTACATATGTAGAAACACACTAACCACAGTTTTGGGCTTGCAACTCCTACAGCATTAGCTGACACAGTTGCAGAAACTGGCAGGAATGAATGGTTACGCAAGAATAGGAGCTCAGCCCAAATTGTGACCTGGGACAACAGACAGGACTTTAATACTCTTGTAAACATACAACGCCACTTTTCCCAGGACCTGGGGGGAAGGCTAAGCCTCCACAGGCTGGACCTGTCCAGGTAGGTTAGCTGTTCTGAAGAAGAATTTGGCCCCTCCCAGGCACTTGTTACGGAATGGTAGGCGGGGCGTTGCTGTGTGTCTGTATCAGGTAACACCCTCGGCTCACCTTTCCATGCACCTCCTCAGCCTAGGAGGGAATCTAAGCCTTTCAGCCAGGAAACAAAAAAGTAATTCACAGCAGCAGCTGTAGCTGGGGCAGTTTCTTTTTGAGCTGTGTTTCCCCCCACACGCACACTTGTGCCTGCTCCCACTCTGCCCACCAAGATGGGAGCCAGACACTGCTTTGCCAAGTTCTTCCAGGATGGGTCCTTCTTCCTCCATCTGGGTCGGAAATACCAGTCCTTGGGCAGCAAGGAGACCGGAGACCAGGTCAGGAGAGGTTTTCTCTTGAGGGGATGTTGGGTTGGAACTGACCGTCTGGCTTGTCCTCTGGGTCAACTTTCGTTAATCTCCAGGGAGAGGGGGAAATGTGGGTCTTGCCAAGAGGGAGAAGAGTTGGTGGAGGCACACAGACCTGTGTGTGAATTTCTAAGTGACTGCAATGTTTGATAGAGACACAGAAGTCCTACTGTTCAGCTGATTCACTTACCTTCTATTCACCTTCTAGAGCGACTCTCCTTGTTTTTGCCCCGTTCAAAGTTATTTTTATCATTCCAATTACATTTGCACAGTCCTTGTTAATCCTTACATTGATTCTCTTGCAGCGTTCTTTCAACAACATTGCAAGGAAAGTCCTAGGAATGTTCTTTCCCCACCATGACTGGTGGAAGAATGGAAAGAGAGAGGATTGATGTAGGACAGGATGAACGTTTAACATGAGTCTCAACTCAAAAGGTTGACCTTCTGCTCTTCACTACTCTTAAACGTCCTCGTCCCTTCAGTTGCTGGGTTCATGTAGCTCTCTAAGCCCACATTCTGATGTAGCAAAACAGGGTGGCTGGGTTGATACAAACCAATGATGGTTTCCCATTACACGTTCACCCGTAACCTATTCATTGCCCGTTGTCCCGATTCACTCTGCTGTGAGAATCCAAGAACTGTTTCACATATCAAAAGAAGAATTCTTGAAAACTCAAGAACTAGCTTGCCAAATGAGTGGGAGTTAAACTGCCTGTGTATTTTTGTCTCCAAATTTTCCTTTGCCAGCTTGTTCTGTTTTTACAAGATTAATGTGCACGGCCTCTGCAAAAAACTATGCTAATAAAACTCAGGGCAAACATTTCTGTTACGGGGGAAGAAACCCTTTTAAAAATGCTTAATCTTTCATTGCACCTGATTGCTATCACGATAAAATAGCTAGAGCGGATACTTTTAGCATCCTGTGCTATTTCAAAAGCCATTAAAGAGATAGGAAAGTTTCAGGCTGCTTACGTGTTTATTTAGATATTCAATATCCAAGGAATGAAATTTGGCAGGTATTTTTTTTAAAGTGATCTGAGAAATAAATGGAGCCTCTTTTCCTTCCGTTTCGGGGCCTGAAATAGCCAGCAGGAAACCAGTAATAAGATGGCAATAAAACCAGAGAATAAAGAAAATAGTTGCAGTTTAAGTCTGAGCCCTTTTAAGAAAGTGCTACCCTCACCCTTCCCTGCATTAAATATCTCCTAGAAATAAAGCAAAGGGTGGGGGGGGACAATGTATTATTTAAAAATGGGTCCATAAAGTAATCAAAACTGCTCCTGGAAAATTGAATAAGCCTTTTTTTTTTTTTTTTAAGAGCAAGGAGCTTAAGGCACCTCTTTAGCTGGAATGCTGGTTTTACATCTGTTGGAATGGATGTTAATTAATGGTAACTAATCAGGAAAGGCAACTGGTTTTGGGGGGGGGGTGTTGTTTTTTGTTTTTGCTTATGAGTGCCAGAAAACAGAAGACAAGTTTGCTGGAAGACAAGGCAGGCCGTTCGAACTCACAATCACAAACGGTGCCCAAATTTTCTCTTGCTAAGCGAGACAGTTGTTAACTGACTTTTGCCCCATTTTACAACCTTGCTGGCCACAGTTGTTAAGTGAGTAACGTGGTTGTTAAGTGAATCTGGCTTCCTCCATTGACTTTGTTTGTCCGAAGTTCACAAAAGGGGATCAAGGTGACCCTGGGACACGGCGACCGTCATAAATGTGAGTCAGTTGCCAAATGTCTGAATTTTGATCACGTGATCACGGGAATGCTGCAACAGTCGTAAGTGTGGGAAATGGTCCTAAGTCACTTTTTTTCAGTGCCGCTGTAACTCTGAGCGGTCACTAAATACTAAACTGTTGTAAGTCGAGGATTTTCTGCAGAGAAGTCCTAAAAATATTCAGATGGCAGGCAAGAAGCTCTCTTTCTTGGTTCTTTTTGACCACACCCTGTGTACTACACCCTGCTCTTCTGGACTGATTGATCGATTGATTGATTGGATTCATTCATTCGTTTTAGCAAGCATTTGCTCCCATCCAAGAAAGCAGCTTCTAGGCCCCAAAGAGGTCAACTTGCTGAAACATGACAAAAGAAGAGAGGAAACCTGGCATGGACCATCCTGTATTTATAGCACTCAGTCATAGCTTGGGTTTTAAGTTGGGTTTTAATCTTGTATCCCAAATGTTATCCAGTTCAGGATCCATCGTCTCCCTCTGAATGGATTCGACTTGTCCAAGACATTTGTGCTTTTATTAGCCCTGTGAAGTTGCCAACCTGTAGTAGCCTCTGGTTTGGAAATGTATAGGAAATTTGCAATAGTAACTAACTACAGTATGACATTTTCCATATTGCTTCATTCCGTTTCCTTCTTTAATATTTAATATTTAAACTGCCTTCGTGGACAGAGCTCCATTTCTTGATTTAAAAATTGTTATATATACACGGAGAACAAAAATTGTAAGATTAGCACTCCAGATGAAAGAGTAGAGTTTTTTTTTAAAAAAATAAAAATACAGTATTCTGTCAAGAACACAGTATCTACCCATCCATCCATCTATCCATCACCTGAATTTCACGCCAGTTGTTCTCAAAGCAGAACAAAAATAAAAAATTAAATAAAAATATGAAGAAAGGCACCCATGAGAGAAAATATAAAAAGGGTCATTTCCCTAACTGGAAGGAAGTTGTATCTGTTTCCTTGTTGGCTTTTGAGGTTGCATTGTTGAAATGTTTACAAGATTGCCATCCCACCCCTGAAGACTATAAACTTGGTTTATTTGAACTG